TTGTTTCAGATCCACTAAGAGTCAACAGAACTGAAATGGGAGCGTCATCATTATGTGCATACTGTTGTCTTTTTAACAGCTCTGCTTTGCGTTGAACACCAAACCACTGGTTTTGGACCATGACATCAAGAACTTCTTTTGTGAGAGTTACTTTGTTGTTATTGGTAGTAGGACAAAAATACAGTGACCGAATATGCTCACATTCAAAAGGTAGAATGCCACTTCGCTTGGCAAAATCAGCATTTAAGTTGCATGTCTTCAGTTCACATTCGGATGTAAAAGTCTCTGACCAAGTGTTCTTGATTATGAATTGGAGTTGAAGGGCCGTAAAATGACTTCTCCACAGCAAACAATCCTCATTTTGGATCCACACACTGACAGGTAAGATACCTATCACTTGAAATCCTGTCCACATTTTCTGTGTGTTTCCTTCTGATATGAATTCTCAGGTATCTCTTTTTCAGGCGCAAATTGCAGTACTCACAAACAACAGTACCAGTTGGACAATGGGCAGAGAGAGCTGGGGCTGCTGGATGAGGGACAAAGGCGGCTGGGGCTGATATCTGTGGTGTCGCTGGGGCGTTTGCCTGTGGGGAGGAGCTTGATGGGGCTGCTGGATGAGGGACGAAGGCGGCTGGGGCTGATAACTGTGGTTCGCCGTCAAGCCGTTATCAACGTGTAAAAAACACCAAACCACACTGGTTTTATCAAGGCAACAAGAAATAGATGATAGCATGACGTCATAATTGCCAACCCCCAAGAATGTACACATTGATACACAGACACACAATTACGCACCAGATCTCCAAAGAAAAAATACAACCTATATATGCACACATAATATATAACAAATAGATACCAATATCATAATAAAACAATCCCATACATACCCCAAAACAAGAGACAAAACAGACCAGGGGTGAGTTTCCCGAAGCCTTCTTAACGCTACGTCGTTCGTTAGTTCTATCTTTTAACACAGAACTTAAGAACGACGTTGCGTTAAGAACGCTTCGGGAAACTCACCCCAGTTTAGTATAGTAAGACAATTAGTAAGAGGAGTGTAAGCCTCTGCTTTCACCAACATATCACTCATGTTTTTAAATCTTTTGTAAGCGAAACGATTCTTGGGGGTTGGCAATTATGACATCACGCTATCACCTGTTTCTTGTTGCCTTGATAAAACCAGTGTGGTTTGGTGTTTTTTTTACACATTGATAACGGCTTGATGCCGAAACACGTCTGTGTGGCATGGTGCAATAAACTTTTTTTCTAAATAGTATGAGAAGTATCTTGTGAGTGCGATTCCTTTTTTGTATTTTGATGTCGTTAACTCGCACCCTAAGTAATTTTTGAGATATTTTGGAGTTTGAGCGCGCCTATTTTGATGTTGATAAGTGTGGTGTCGCTGGGGTGCTTGCCTGTGGGGAGGAGGTTGATGGGGCTGCTGGCATGGAAGGGAGCACTGCTGATGTATGGCAATTTAAATGAATTAAAAGTTGTTCTCTTCTTATTATTGTAGTGGTACAAAAGGGGCAGTGAAAGTGGGTGTGTTTTCTGCAGTTTAATCCACACTTTACTATGGTAAACTCTGAAATTGAGAAAAAAGTAATTTGAAACATTTTACCAAAATGGCCTACTTTTAGATATATTTCAGTGCTCAAACAGGTCATTTGTAGGAAGATTTCTTTTACAAGTGTAGCAGGGTGGACTTTTGGGGTAGGATTGATTATTTCCGGTAGGGGCATGTATTTTACATACCTTGCGGATATAAAAAGGCAAGTGGATAGCACACCTATGGTGCGGTGCCGTCATTGGCATTTCCCGATCCGGTAACTCCCCCTCCCGGACTGCAGTGGCTTGGTGTGCTATGGTGGCATGCTGGCTGTGTGTTACCTTTATTGTGTGTCTTGGCGGTAGGTGTTGCTGTTTACTAGCGGTAATCCTCTGTTGGGTTTTAATGGCTAACGGTCATATTTTATATTGCAGTATCGGGGTAGCGAGAACAAGTGCGCTTTGTGGGTGCGATTGGGTTGCAGCTCCAGGTGTGGTTGTGAGTTAGTCCGGTGGCGGGGCTTATGGGTACTTGTTGGTGTCTATTGAAGGTGTTTTAATTCTACTTACGGTTGTCAGGATTATGGTCTCAATTTGTCATCTGTTCCAGTGTACGCCTCTTGAAGCAGGTATGCTGGACTTCACATTCTTTAGATTAAATGGTTTTCTTTTTCAGTGATTATTGTTTGTTGCTGCAGGAAATGTAAAAGTTTGAGCCTGCACTGTTGCTGCTGTTTTGCCTACGTTTGTTTTGTTTCGTTTTCCGTTCATTTTGGTTTCTTTGGTTAATTCAACACTGCCCAACAACTGTGATTGGACGCTCCTGATTTTGGGAGTCTTGGGACGCGCCAAGGATCATCGCATCGCTTCCTGGTTCCTGGAGCCGTTTTCATTTCCCTAGGATTGTGGTTTAACAACAGACGCTGGGGCTGCACAGGGCCCTGCCAGCGTCGATACAATAGTTCATCTCGGAGAGCCAGGCTGTCCCACTGGGAGCAGTATGCCCTTGTGGCGGGGCCGAGGGACCTTAACTCTGACCACTCTGGTTTTTCACCTCGCTGGAGCCAGCCGAGCAGACGAGCCAGGACTGGGTCCCCAGCCTGTGCCTCCTTCAGTTCCTCCCGGCTAAAGGCTGGGTGCCCCTCGGGCTGCTGGGGTGCGATGGTCTGGTCCGGCACCACACCCCTCACTTCCTCCAGCGTTTCTCCCCATTCCGCTGCCCCTGTGTCTATTTTAATGTCAGCCAGTCGGTCTGGTATCGGGGTACTCACTGTCTCAGGTCCAGAGGTCTCTGTTGTTCCAGAGGGATCCCCTGGTCTGGACCCTATCAGCTGCCTCGCCTCCAGTCGCCCGTAGTGCCCACAGCCACCACCGCAGGGACGCCGTGACAGGGCATCTGCGTTACCGTGCAGCCGGCCCTCCCGGTGTTGGACTTGGATGGAGAAACTCCAGGAGTTTCAATTCCATCTTGCCACCTGGCCCTCAGGCTCCTTAAAGCTCATGAGCCAGATGAATGCGGCATGGTCGGTTCTGAGGAGGAACTGGTTGCCACAGATGTATGGCTTGAACCGGGACAACCCAGTCACCATTGCCAGCAACTCCCGACGTGTGACACAGTAGTTTCGTTCTGCCTTGCCAAGACAACGGCTGAAGTAGGCAATGGCTCTCTCCCCATCTGGCCAGGACTGGGACAGGACCACCCCAATGCTACTGCTGCTGGCATCCATGTCTATGATGAATGGCTGGGTAGGGTCAGGACACGCCAGGATTGGGGCGGAGACAAGCGCAGTCCGTAGCTGGTCAAAGGCAGCCTGCTGGTTGGGACCCCACTGGAAGGCAACCTACTTTCTGGTCAGCTGGTGCAAGGGGGCGGCAATGTCGGCAAAGGCCTGGATGAACCTCCTGTAGTAGGAGGCCAGGCCCAGGAAGCTCCGCAGCTCCTCAACAGAGCACAGGATTGGCCAAGCCTCCACTGCTCTTACCTTGTCCGGGTCCGTTGCTACCCCTCTCTCGCTCACGACATGACCCAGGAACTTGACAGACCACTGCAGGAGGCTGCACTTAGCCGGACTGAGTCGTAGATTCGCTCGGCGGATGGCCTCAAACACTTGCCGTAGGTTGGCTGCCGCATCACTGAAGTTGGGTGCATGGATGAGCAGGTCATCCAGGTAGACAACACAGCAGCTCTCTGGGATCCCCTCAAGCACCCGTTCCATAAGCCGCTCAAAGGTAGCAGGGGCATTACAGAGCCCAAAGGGAAGAACCTGGAACTGCCACAAACCTCGCCCCAGGGTGAAGGCCGTCTTCTCACGGGCCTGCAGGGACAGCTCCACCTGCCAGTAACCGCTACGAAGATCCAGCGAACTGAACCACCGTGAGCCAGCTAGGGTATCAAGGGTGTCATCAATACGGGGCAAGGGATAGGAGTCCATCTTGGTATTGGTGTTGAGCCTGCGATAGTCCACGCAGAACTGCCAGGTGCCATCCTTCTTTTTAGCTAGGACAGCAGGGGCGGCCCACAGACTGGTGGATGGCTCGATGACTCCAGAGGCCAGCATCTGCCGGACCTTCTCTTCAGCAGCAACCCTTTTTACAAGAGGAATTCGGCGGGGGTGGAGACAGATGGGCGAGGCACCACCTGTGTTGATGTCATGCTGCACCAGGCTGGTGTTGGTGCAGTCTTCATCACAGGCAGCAAAGATGTCTGTATACTCCTCCAGCAGTGATCGCAGCTGAGCCCTCTCTCCTTTGTTGAGACCCTCAGCACTCCACTGGTACAGGGACTCAATGGCTTCTGCTGTCACTGCCTGGGTCACTGGGGCTCGGAGCAGAGCTGCTGCAGTGTTTGGAGCTGATGGACAAGGACTTGTGGAGGGTAGACATGCTGACCAAGCTTCCGATGGGTGGGGTCTTACTAGGGCTGCACGATTAATCGTATTTTTATCATGATAACGATATTTATGACCCACGATCAGTTAATAAATATCGTCGCGATTTTCCAGTATAAAGACCAAACTGTTTTTTATGGGCGGAGTTTACGGATTGGACTGCGTCACTATGACATTACTGCGTCTAGATTGCAAGCGCTTTCTGAAGTAGTAGAAGTCAATAGCAGCAATAACAGTCAGTCAGAATAAACATATGATGGCGGAGCAACTTGAGGGAAGTGCAGAAGTGCGATCGTTAGTTCCTAAAAAGGGGTCATACTCAGTCATCTGGAACTATTTCGGTTTCGAGGAATGTGATGTTGATCAGGTACGAGTCTTGTGCAAACTTTGCTCCTGTTCCGTCCAGACGTCCCAAGGTAACACAACAAACCTCATAAACCACCTTAAAAGCCACCACAAAGTACACTATCAAGAATTTCAACGACTGAAGGCACAAACAGCAACAACAAAAAATTCCCAGCCATCCACAACACAGACAACAATATCAGGGACATTGTTCAACGCAATACCATATCTGCCTAGCTCGCAAAGACACCGGGAAATAACAGAGGCGATCACGTACCATATAGCCAAGGATATGTGTCCAATAACCACCGTGAGCAGTGAGGGGTTTAAAAAAATGATCACAACACTTGATAAAAGATATAGCATTCCCTCACGCAACCATTTTTCCAATGTTGCGCTGCCCTCGCTGTATGCGAAATGCCGAAAAGAAATAGAAAGAGAAATTCTCAGCCTTGAATATTTTGCTGCCACGACCGACTTATGGTCAAGCAGAACTGCGGAACCACATTTGAGCTTGACAGTTCATTTTATTGACAGTGAGTTTGAGATGAAAAGCAAGCTTTTGCAAACTTCGTTTTTCCCACAAGACCATACAGCGGAGTTTATTGCAGTGGGCCTCAAAGAAGCGATGTCCGCTTGGGGCTTGGTGGAAGAAAGACTTGTCTGCATCACAACGGACAACGCAGCTAATATGATTAGGGCAGCATCTATGAATAACTGGCCGAGGCTACACTGCTTTGGTCACAGACTTCATTTAGCCATCGGTAAGTTGTATGTTTTTTCCCCAGATATATTGAAACAATTTGACAATTTAAAAATATTAATTGTTGTTGTTGTTGTTTTAGTGATATTATAATGACACATTATAATGACAATGAGTCATATGTCTACAGTATAATAATCATCATTTTTATTCTGCTAATCTATCAAATTAGATACATTTAAAAGTTAAAAAAATATTTGATTAGTCAAATACAGTACTATTATGTTAATGTTTGTGAACCCAGATGAGTTTAGAATAAGTGAGTGTTTATTATTTATTAATAAATGTTTGGTATTTGTCTTATGTAGGTGTATATAATTAGTGAAATAAAAAACATTTTTTTTTTTTTCTGATCAAAAGTTGCATAAACAACAAGAGTCTTCCTGTGTCTTACTGTTTTTTTCTGATCATGTTTATTTCCTGAATAGAATGCCATGAAGGATCCAAGAATTGACCGGACTGTGGGGCTCTGTAAAAAGTTGGTGAGCTCCTTCTCTTACAGCTGGAAGCGTAAGAGAGAGTTTTTAGCTGCACAAAAGGAGATGAAACTCCCAGAGCACTCACTGAAAACAGAGTGTCCAACAAGGTGGGGATCACGTCAGGCCATGATTCTTGTCCTGTCCTCTGACAAGAAGTCTCGTCATCTTATCCCAACATGGCAGGACATGGATGTACTAGAGGCAATCAACAAATCCTTGCACCCTCTAGTTAATTTTACAGATGCACTGTCTGGCGAGAAGTACGTCAGCGTGTCATTTGTTAAGCCATTTGTTCTTCGTCTTTTCAACGCATTAATCTTGAAAGTTAAGGATGATGATACTGACCTGTCAAGAGCAATCAAGTCTAAAATTTTGGAGTACCTAAACGAAAAATACAGTGACTCAGACATCCAAGCTCTATTGGACATGGCATCTACGGTGGATCCACGATTTAAGATGAGATACACGGCTGAGGACAACAAAACAACAATTCAATCCAGACTCAAAGCTGAGATGCAGACTTTGGCAATGATGGTAATAAAAATGAGCTGCACTGAGATCTATATTAGTGTTTTGAGTCTCAATTAGTTAAATTTGTTCTAAATGCCTTTTTCTGTGTTTAGGTGCCACCCCAAGAAACAGCACAAGAGACCAGCGAGGAGGAAGCTGAAGCTGGATGTGCCCCAAAGAAAAAGATGACTTTAGGAAGCTACAGTACTTTAAAACTGCTGAACAAGCCTTGCCACCTAACAACCAGGAATCCAGTGTAGCCTGTGAGCTAGAATCTTACTTGCAGTCAAGCTACCTGGATAGTGAGGGGGACCCATTAAAATGGTGGAAAGAACATGAAAAGATCTACCCAAGGCTTTCAAAAGTGGCAAAAAAATACTTGTGCATACCAGCCACAAGCTCTCCAGAGAGGGCTTTCAGTTCCGGTGGAAATGTAGTTACTTGCTTGCGGTCTTCCCTAAAGCCCGATCAAGTTGACAGGCTTGTGTTCTTAGCCAAAAATCTGTAACATGTTGTAAATTTTTTTTTTATTCTTATTTGATTTTATTACAAGTTGATGTAAAAGAGGCAGTTTAATTTTATTTATTTACCACAGCTAAGAAAAACTCTCCATTCTAAACATGTTTGGTTTGTTTATTTTTCATTTGTGGCTGTAAAGTGCAATAAGAATACACAAGTGAATAAAAGTTCATTAACAAAGGAATAATCGTCATTATTAATCGTGATAAAAATTTTGAGCAAAATAATCGTGATAATCATTTTTTCTGTTATCGTGCAGCCCTAGGTCTTACTGCCTGTGGCAGTGGCTCAGAGGCCAGGGTAATGGTGTGTACCCCCAGGGCCAGGGTCATCTGTTGTAGGTCGAGCACCGCCCTCTGATGGATGAGAAGATCCATCCCCAGGATGCAGTTGTCCTGGATTGGGGCAAGCCAGAAGTCATGGGAGACCAGCATGCACCCCATCTTGAGTTGTAGCCTGCAACAACCCTGCATAGGGATGGTCTCCCCAGTCACAGAGCACAACTGGGCGGTGGTGGTCCTCCAGCCCAGTAAGGAGTGCCCCTCCATTCTAGGCAAGAGTCCTGTCCTCACTATGGAGACTGTGGAGCCACTATCTATTAGACCACGGCAGGACACCCCATTGATGGAGCAAGGCAGAAAGGGGCTCCACAGATCTCTGAGCCGACCAACAGGATAGATGTCCAGGAATGGGCCTCCGGCCTGAGGGGTTTTGAGGGGTTGGGACGACACTTCCCTCACTGTGCCATCCCTTGGTCGTTTCCCGACAGCCTGGGAGTGGGCTCAGGGCAGAAGCGAGCCCGGTGCCCTCTCTTTCCACATCGCCAGCAGATGATCCTTACACCATTGGGAGAAGGGTCACTATCCCACCGAGTCACTGAACGTACTGCAGCATCTTCGTAGGGTGCCGCACCAAAGATTGCCTCCACCCTCTCTGCCTCAGCGAGTGCCTGCTTTACGCTAGCTGGTGCTAACAGCCGCACTTGTTGTTGTAGGAAGTCTGGAAGAAGGGCTGAGAGGAAGGCCTGCAGGGCTAGGTCTTCCTGCACTACTGCAGGGTAGTTGGGGTATGCCTGGCGGGCAAGTGCTCTGATGTCAGAAGCCAGGACTCCAAGACGCTCCCCTCTGTGCCGCCGCCGGGTGCTAAAAAGCTGACGGGCCCTCAGCTCCCCTCCGCCACTCCCAAACCGCTGCTTTAGGGCTGTCGTCAGTTCTGTAAGAGAGAAACGAGCCTCTGGTGCAATGTCCAAGAGGACTTGGAGGGCCCCTCCTTCCAGTGCCAGGCCAAGGTGGACAGCTGCAGTCTGGTCATCCCAAGCATTGTTCTTGGCGGCAAGCTCTAGCTGTACAGCAAATAGCTCCCAAGGTTGGTCCCCACTGTACTTCGGCAGGCGGACGGCTGCTGGTGGTGGAGTGAGCAGGGTTTTCTTTGGTGGCAGATCACTGGGTCTTCTCTCGTGTTTGGGAGCTCTGGGTCCACTGGCTCCCTCAGGCACCTGTGTCCGACGTCTGACCCACAGTCCGCTGACAATCTCCTGCTACAGCTCTGCAATTTCCTCTTCAAGGTTCCTCCGGGTTTCTTGGAGTAGAGTGAGTGGGATCGTAGTCCTGATCCCACTTCTGACACCATTGTGGTATCTGTTGGCTTCAGCCATAACACCACGTCAAGAAAGCAGTCTGATCCAAAGCTCTTTTATTAGCAGTCCTGAACAGGACTACTGTACATCAGGCACCAAAAGAGCACCGAAAAACAATTACACATAAGAAACACAGGGTTGTCAGACGCTGAACTCTAAGATACACACACGGTGGGAGATTTACGGAAGCTAATTATACATGAGGATCGGACTGGGTACACTCAAGACACGGGCAAACACACGCGCAACAATAAGGAATATAACCATTAACAATAACAACAACAATACAAGGGCTATTTACAACTTGCATGCTGGGACATGTGCAAATCGACCAGACGGCACTTGGCTCACCGACGCCACAATACGTTCACCGTGTGCCATACAATTGTGTGGTGGAGCACGTGTGTGTGTGTGTGGCAGTGGACTCCATTCCCCCTTTTGGATCAACTTTATTGAACAGCTGTTTCTTGCTGGTTAGTCAACGAATAGCCAGAGTCTGGTCATTGGTTCTTTTTTTATTTTTCTTTGGGGTTGCTGATGCTAAAGTGTGTGTGTTACTACTCGCTTGCCGCCACCAAGTTTATATAGACACTTTCTGGTTGTTTTTCCTCATAAGATGCAGTAAGCATGCTTTATTTTTTCCACCAAAAGACATAATTATAAATAACTGAGATCTTTCAGTTTATATGCCAGTGGAATCACTACAATATAATGTGCATCAAGGGAATTTCTCATTAAGTTAACAAGAAAAGTGCAGTCAAAGTACACCAATTTTCATTTGTTGTTCCTTAGCAGATGATTTGTTCAAATATTCATACCTTTATGTTTAACATGGGCATGGTTCTGCACATGTATTGCAACCCTGTATTCTTCTGCAGAACGGGTAGTGATGCTGTCCAGCCTTATTATAAGTGCAAGGCTGTCGGCTGATAAATATGGAAATGTGTCTTTAAGAAAGGAAGGGGCAGTGTTGTCATAATGCATATATTTTAACACGGATGAAAAACATAGATCAATACATAGATAAGCATCATTTAAGAAATGTAAATATATATTATAATTTGATTTTAAAAATTTTACTTTTGGTATAGTTTTGTGCACATACTGCATTGACAATTTAATACTTTTCACTGAAGCACAAACAGCCAAAACAGCAGACGTTTATGTAGTTGTCTGCTAATTAAGTTAAAAACTAAGCAGGTTTTCCCTTACAGTTCCTTAACATGCATTTCTTTATTCCAGTGCCACACATTTCTTTGTTTCATCTAGGTCAAAAAACAAGCATTTTAGGCTTTAATTTGGCATTTAATTTCTGCTTACCTCTGACAGGTTATCCATCGTAACGCGAAAAGTGTTGCTTTCCCTCATTCTTGTTGGACTCAGGCATGTTGTTTCAACTATCGCCACCTGCAGTACCGGAGTGTATGGGTATTTCACCATGTGACATCTCGCCCCGCCCACATCTTGCCCCGCCCCATCCCACAGGCTGCAGCGAGGTGTACTTGCACAGAGTGAAACTGTCTGACACAAGAAAAAAAAAAAACAGAACCGATAACATTGGGCTGATATGGTAATAATTTACATTTTAACAATTAAAATGATTTTTAACGATTAAAAAAACGTCTGTGAGCCCACATACTGTACAAGCGCACAAAACTAACTGTCAGAATCAATGATCCTTAATGTTACCTGTAAGCTACTAAAATGACCAGGTAATCCATGTCAGGGAGGACACTCTGAGCTAGAATAGGAATTGTAAATTACCTTTTCAATTAAAAGGACCTGGATTTCACTTGAGCACTGAGCTCTTGCTGTGTGCTGATTGGTCAGTCTCCTATAATCATGCATGTGTCACTAATGCTAATGTGAAACAGCTGGATGAGTCTTTCAGTCAAGGAAACAAACCACAAGAAGAGCAAAAGAAGTACAAGAAGAGCTGAACTATTTAGCTTAGCACAGGAGCCTTTCAATTTGAAAGTAGTTTGTAAAACCCGAAGTAGCTCAAAGTGTCCTCCCTGACGTGTAATATCTGGTCACCCTAATAAACTACAGTTGGTTGAAGGCTCATTATCATTACGCCAGATCCCGACAGCGTAATTCATGTTCTATTTCAAAAGCGCTCGCATTTTCTTTTAAAGCAACATTTCATAGCAAACAAGTTAAATAAATAAATCTTTGAAAGTTCAGAATTTAAGCCTTACCAGGACTCTCCCAAAAAGTCTGGCTGGGGTCCTGCACAAGGCAGCATGGGTCACGTGTTCCACAGCAACAATAACACTGGGCTGCCCACAGACGTGCCTGTCTGTAAATTAGTGTACTACACTCAGATATCGGCCAGTGCCGATACATTAAAAAATGCCAAATATCGGCCCGATATATCGGCCGGTGGCTATATCGGTCAACCTCTATTAAGAACTGATGAAAAAGAAAGTAATGAATACAGCAGGAAACGGATTTCACACATTAGGTAAAACCATTTGATGGTGTACTGGGTTAACTATGACAAAGGAGTATGGCACTACTATTAAAAGACAGACAACCTGAAAGATTAAAGAGTGTACTGATGTACATGTACATGTGCGCCTGTGTGGTCTTTGCCAGATTTAGACTGCGCATGTGCTCAGAGTTCAAGCATGCGTACACCGAGTATTTTACGTACGTTTACGACTCGTAGTGAATTCTAAACATGCATGTGTGTACGTGGACAGTGATTCAATGTTGTATAATCAATATCTATATACATATCTCAATTAGAGTCTAGAAGCCGAGACAGATTCCAGTAAAATGGGCAAAATTGGTGGATTTTACCTTGCTTCCAAGGTGAACCAATAGAGCAGGAGAATTGCATTTGTTATACGTTTGAACTCGGTTTGTTGGTGTTTTGTGACCAATAAATAAATGTTATTCCCAAATAAATTTTGTCAGACTCTTAATTGACTCAGTGAAATTTCTACGACAAATATACCAACTCCACACATGGAGCCAGGGTGGAGACTTGAACCCAAGTCCCAGACGTGTGAGGCAGCTGTACTAACCACTGCAAGATAAATTATATTGCATACCTTTGTAATAATCTCGTCATAGTTGCCAAGTTTCATATTCGTAAGTGTAGGTTGTGACGTTTTGTGCCGGATAGCCGGAGAAAAAAAGGAGCTCAGAAGCAGAAATGGCGTTTAGTACAAAACTTTTATCGGCTTTTCTTTACGTCACAAAACACAATACAAAAACACATCCAGAATCAAAAGAAAGTGCAAAAGCAGAAAACTCTTCGGGAGGAGAGCAGCACACGCACTCCTCGTCCCTCTTCGTCTTTCACACACAAGCACCTG